GGTCTAATTCAGCGTGGAATTTTTATGGCACACTACATCTATTTTCTCTTTTTCTTAATAACAGTTTCTTTTCTCTAGCTCACTTTATTGTAAGGATACAGCATGTAATACCTAAAACATACAAAATATGTCTTGATTGTTTAGGTTCAAGGTAAGCCTTCTGGTCAACAGTAGGCTATTAGTAGGTAAGTTTTTAGGGTGTCAGAAGTTATACATGGATTTTCCACTGCACAGGGAGTTGGTACCCCTGATCCCCACATTGTTCAAAGGTCAACTGTCCTCAGTTTTCCCAGCTGCTCTTACAGCCAGAGGTGGCCATGTGAAATGGTTCTGGCCAGTGAAGTGTAAGCGCAGATCTTCAAGGAAAGCTTTCTTTCCAGAGTAAGAGGCAGACCTTTCTAAGAGAAAGACTTTGATCCTTTTGCCATTCCTTGTCCTTCCTACCTGGAATGCAGACGTGACGGCTGGAAGTGCATTAGCCATCTTGCAGCCATGATACAATAAGCAACACTCAGAAGGGCCAAGTTAAAAAAAAAAAAAGTAACTTGGTTCTTGATGGCATCATTGACGACCATTGCTAAGTTGGCTAACCTCTTGGTTTGCTTGGGACTGAGGGATTTTCTGAGATGGAGGATTTTTGATACTAAAACGGGAACAGTCATGGGCAAACCTGAACCCTAGCCTACAGTTGGTCACCCCATCCTAGCCAGGGGTTCTTATTTCCAGAGACGACTTATTATATAATAATAAAAAAAATAATTGCAGAAAGTTGGTATTCTAAGATTCAATGAATAGACATGGATAGAGTTGGAGGTCATTGGTGGTAGCTGCCTTCTCAGAAGTTCTCCCAGTTAAGTCTCAATGATTCTTCATGGTAGGTTTTGCTATACCCATTTTATAGGTTAAAAAACTGAGTCACCAAGAAGGTTAACCCAACTGGAATTTAAGTCCTAGACGTTAATGTCATGTCCTTTTCCCCTAAAGCCATTCTGGCTCATTTCCTCTTAATTCAGTAGGTGAACATGTAGTGTTATTCTAGGAATGGACATCATGCTTTTCAAATGAATAAAGTCACTGTGAGATGCAGTCATTCCCTTTCTTTCTGGACAAGTCAAAAAACCCCCTGTGATCTGACTTCTTTCTCCATCACTACTGTCAATGAACAAGAGAGAATTGGTTTGCCCAGATTTAATTTTTTTTTAATTACAGCTGAATTATTCAAAAGATACGAAGGGGAGTGTAGCACAGAGTCTCCTTTCTACCCCTGTTGCCTTATAGATGAATACTAGGAAAACTTCATCAGTTTTGAATTAATGGTTTTGAATGTGGGTAATAATGATAGTATTTGTTTTCAGCTTTTGAGGTTACCAATTACTCTCAAGGACAGAGTCTCATTTTCTCCTCCCAGCTTGTTGGGGACATTTTCTTCAGACCCTCCTTCATAGTCACAAAGGCTCCCGCAGCCTACCCCCTCCATCAGCTGGGGCCTGGACTGCTCTCTGGGTCCCTCATACCTTTGGCAGGCAATGCGCCTGTGACCAAGACCTCACCGCAGCTGGTGTGCACCGCCCAGGGCCCCCTGAGTTTATCTGTAGGCTGTCCACAGGTTCCTTGTATCACTCACCAGGCTGAGAACAGGTCCTCCTGAAGGACCTGTGGGCGGGCCAGCTGGCCTCTTGTCCTCTGCAGCATATGTAACCCTCTTCCATCAGCACGCCCGGCTCTGACAAGTTATGTATTTATTCCCAGTTTACCCCTTATTAAAAATAATGTTTATGAAGCATCTGTAATTTATGTGGGAAAGTATTATGTTAATTGAGAAAGCATAATGTATCAGTATCTACGTATAGCTACGTCTCTGAAAATCATATAATTTAGACTCAGAACAAAGCCTATGTGTAGAAAAATAACTCACTCTTTCTTGCCTCTCAGCCTGACTGCACCTCTTCCTCCAGTTGCCCTCAACTGAACTAGGATCCACTCAGCTTCCTGAGCCAGATCAGTCTCAGCTCCTTTTCCTGTACAGGCATCACCAGCACCCCGGCCCCCTGCCAGGCCAGGCTGTCACTAGTCCTGTCCATGCTAGCTCCTGCCCGCTCACGAACCACTCTGCTGTTTTCTGTCCCCATAGCCGACCCACTAGCACAGCCTCCGCCAGCTCACACCCAAGCTTCTGGAACATTTCTTTCTTTCTTTCTTTCTTTCTTTCTTTCTTTCTTTCTTTCTTTCTTTCTTCCTTCCTTCCTTCCTTCCTTCCTTCCTTCCTTCCTTCCTTCCTTTCTTTCTTTTTTAATTAACATATGATGTATTACTTGTTTCAGGGGTACAGATCTGTGACTCATCAGTCTTAAACAACACCCAGTACTCCCCTCAACACCTACCCTCCCCAGTGTCCATCACCCAGCCACCCCCTCCCCTCTTCTCCCTCCCCTCCAGCAACCCTCAGTTAGTTTCCTAAGATTAAGAGTCTCTTATGGTTTGTCTCCCTCTCTTGTTTCGTCTTGTTTCCACTTTTTCCTTTCTTCCCCTGTGATCTTCTGTTTTGTTTCTTAAGTTCCACATGTCAGTGAGATCATATGATACTTGTCTTTCTCAGATTGACTTATTTTTCTTACCATAATACCCTCTAGTTCCATCCATGTCATTGCAAATGGCAAGATTTCACTTTTGATGGCTGAGTAATATTCCATTGCATATATAGACCACATCTTCTTTATCCATTCATCTGCTGATAGACATCTGGCTCTTTCCATGGTTTGGGTATTGTGGACATTGCTGCTAGGAACAGTCGGGTGCATGTGCCCCTTCAGATCAATACATTTGTATCTTCGGGGTAAATACCCAGTAATGCCATTTTGGGGTTGTAGAGTAGCTGTATTTTCAACTTTTTGAGGAACCACCATACTGTTTCTAGAGTGGCTGCACCAGCCTGCATTCCCAGCTTCTGTAATGTCCTCAGAACTAGAAAAAAATGTAATGTCTTCTGGGTCTTAAGTCTTGCTCTGCTCGGGTGCATTCTCTCCATTTCAGTCAGGAGCTTCTGTCTTTAAAAGGAGAAAAAAATAGGGACACCTGGGTGGCTCAGTCGGTTGGGCCTCTGCCTTCGGCTCAGGTTGTGATCCCGGGGCCCTGGGATCGAGTCCCGCATCGGGCTGTCTGCTTGGCAGGGAGCCTGCTTCTCTCTCTGCCTCTGCCTGCTTGTGCGCACGCACTCACTCGCTCTGTCTTCCTCTGACAAATAAATAAATAAATTATCTTTAAAAGAAGAAAAAAATAATCTATAACACACCCTGCTTTGAGGTCTACTCGTGCCCTGTTGTCCTCAGGAAAGCACTGGATTCCCTGGCTCCTGCTCGCATCTCCAGCGCCTCTCTTGCCTTTCCAGACTCTGCCCGTCGCCTGCCGGCTGATGCTAAGCCCTCAGCTCCAGCCCCAGTCCCACTCCCCCGGACTTTGCTCAGCTGCCCTGCACATTTTGACTCTCCCTTGGTTTAAGCCTCGTGGATTTGAAGGAAAACTAAAATGTCAATCAAGCTTTAGCTGAATAGTGAGGATGGGTTTTCATCGTGATGTGTGTGTAACTCGGTCAGTCCATCAACCACTCATTCATCAAAGAAACAGTAATTCAGATTTATTAGGCATCGTACATGCAGTGGCCCAGGACCACACTGCTTCTAGGTGTCAGCCCACACGATCCTATAGCAGGATTCTTCTTGCAGGGTTATTCATGCCATCTGCATTGCTGTCTTTCATCTGTATTTATTCAACAAATGGCCATACAAAAATCAACAGCAGGGAATCCCTGTTCTCAAGGCTCCCAGACTTACGAACACGTCTTCATGCCACACGGTCAGTGCCGTGCAAAGGAAGGGCACAGGAGGTCTCCTAACAGAAGGGAGGTTGACCCGACCCGTGTTGACAGGTAGATGGGGCGTGAGAGAGAGGGAGACCAGGAAGCAAGAGAGAGAGGTTCTTTCCAGAAAAGGGAACAGAGGCTCAGAGATTAAAACCTGTCTCTGCCAGGACTCGGGGAATGTGTACACTGTGGCCAGAGAGCTCGGAGCCACGCGTCTCCCCACACTCCACCAGCTGGTGGCACTTCATCCTCCACCAGAATGGAAAACCGCCCCCTCCAAGTCCTACCCATTCTCGAGACGCACTCGAGACCTCCTTCCTTCAGGAAGCCTTTCCGGGCTACGTGACAAGCAGATGGGCGCTTCACTCCATCCCGTTTTGTACATTGCCATTCAACATTTATAAGAAATCTCACCTTCCCACCAAAGTGTAAACTCCTCGAAGATAGGGACTATGACACACACGTACTCTCAAATGTGTGGGATCCTTCGAGAAAGCTCGTGCCGCTCTGTGAGTGCTTGTTGAAGCTACACTAGCCCAGCCTGGGATCTCTACAGGCAGAGTCCCAGGCAGCGCCCAGTCATCTAACCCCAGGCAGTGACCGCTGGGTCTCTTCATACGTGACTTTGTCCTCACTCAACATCTGCTTAGATGTAGTGTCATGGGTCTGTGATAAGGGTAGACTCGATGCCATTAACCTGATTTCAGGATTCCTAGAGAAGAGAAAAGTAATCATGTTAAAAGGAATTTAAAGCGATCCCCGTTAGAAGTGCCTGACTCGAGTCAACCTTGGAATTTACTGTTAGCAAACTTCTCACCCATGGAAAGTAGAAAATGTTGCCATCTGAGAAAAGCCCTGAACTTGTAGACAGAAGAAGCAGGTCTTCGGTCTGTCTCTACCGTGTATGAGCCGTGTGACTTCGGACAAGTCATCTATGCCCTTTTAAACCTCAGTGTCCCCAGTCTTTAAAATGGGAATTATAATGCCTCACAGGGTTAGAACTACTCTCACAGGGCTATGGTAAGAATTAGATGTGGTAATGATGTGAACGGGATTGGTAATATGTGAACTGTCATTTGAAAATCAGAGAGTATATTCATTTTTAGCATAAATGAAAGTTCTCTTCCCTCTGTTTTATTCCCAGCATTATGAATCCAGACACAAGTTCTCCACGGGGAAGTACATGCACTGTGCTTCCTTTAAGGGGAGAGAGTGTCCATCATCTCACACCCAGGAGATCTACCGTAACCACGTCCGCAACTTAGATGTTGGAAGAGTCACATCTGTAGTCCTCAAGGGCAGCACGGTGCCTGTGAGGTAAGGTGCCCTGCTTTGCTCGGTATCCTAGTAGAAAGGTACCTGCTCAGAAAACTGCCAGGCTCCTCTTTTCCCAGGGAGAATTCTGTAGTCCAGGGGATCCCCTTCTGAAAGAGGGTCTGCTTAGATTTGTCAGGGGAAGTCATTAAGCAATGCAGACAACAAAAATGAGCCCAAACCAAAGAGAAGACGACACTGGAAGGAGAGGCAATTCTGTCTACCCAGCAGGCACCAATCTCACCTGCACTCAGAAGCCCGGAGTCAGAGCTTGTCTCTGATACAGACTGGCTGTGTCGCTTTGGGGAGCTCACCCAACCTCTCTGATTCTCCAAAATTGTGCTTTGTAAAATAAGCATAATGATGCCAATCTTCTGGTATTAAGGATTACATTTGTATGAGTTTCACAAAATGGAAAATGCCTTGTGATTATGGAGCGGATTGTAAATGTATCTGCCAAAAGTAAGCATTGAAAACAAGCCAAGAACTGTGTGTGTGTGTGTGGGGGGGGGTGTCCATAAGCTTGCCCACCAGGGGGCCTTAAGTGGGATTCTAGGAACCACCCGAAGATCTGAAAAGGCGTCTCCTGCAGATGAAGGGTGTGCCCTGAAAGCCAGTTGGTTTCGATGGCTGACTACAGGCCACCCTCCAGTGGGTGGCTGCTGTTTCAGGGCTACTGTGCGGCCCCCCACAACTCCCCGGCCCAGGGACACGGTGGGGGACCTGGCCGCACTGCTCGCATGCCTTCCTGCACTCCAGGCTGGGTGGTTCCCAAGGCGCTTCCTTTTGCCCCATCTTTTTAATTTTCCCAGCAAACCTGTTAGGTGAGCTGAGCAGATATAAACCCTGTCTTCACCCACATACACCTTGGGATGACTGGCCTGAGGCCACAGAGCTCAAAATGACAGTGCCTGGAACCCCAGCTTGGAGGGTTAGCTGGGATTTGAGCGCAGGTTTTTAAAAACCTTTGCCTATAGACCGGGCCATGAGCCCATGAGCCATGAGCCCGAGCTTAACCAAAGCCCTATGGGCCCCAGTCCGTGAGGTGAATGGCCCCCCACAGACACAGCGTTCCCGGGCAGGCCTGGCTAGACCCCAACATCTCTTTCTACCCATGGCTTTTTATTTCCTTGCATGTGTCTCCAAGGGGACCAGCAGGGACGTGCCCTCCCCACCGTGGTCCTCGCTCCCTGTGTGTAATCGGGGCGCCCGTGCTGGCCCCGCACGGTGATGAATGAGCTCCTCCCGGCAAGCGGGCAGTGACGAAAGCCCCGCCAGCGCCGCCGGCCGCTCCCGGGCAGCGCCGCGCCCTCAGATGCGATTAGCCCCGTGTGTCACGCCCCGCGTGTCACCGCGCTTGGCAGCAGTTCCCGGAGGCAGGGAGGCCTTTGTTCGCGCCATCGTCCTGTCAAGTGGCCGTAACTTCGTTTGGCTGCCAGCTGCCTTGGCCTTTTGCATCATCCTAGCCGGCTCTCTCCTCCCTCGGGTCATGGTCAGTCTGTCATCCCGGATTTTTCAGGGAATATCCAGGGTGTGCGTGCAAAGCTCCCACGTCTTCCCCCGGAGCAGCTTTGAATTCACGTTGTGGACCATGAACACGTCCTGCGTGGTCCGGGAGGCGGGCTTCCTGGGACCCCCCAGCCTCACCCCGGCGGGGGCAGAGGAGGAGGAATCGCGTGTGGTAGACAGGCTCTCCCGGCTGCGGAGCGGGGCCGCATTCAGACATTCGGTGCTTCCACACAGTTTAACTGAGCACCTAGTGCGTGCTGGGCCCTGTTCCAGGCAATATTGCAATAAAGTAGTGAGCGATAAAGACGAACAGCCCCTGCTCTATGGAGCCACATACGGAGGTGGGGAAGGGAGCAAGAAGAAATGAAAAATAGGTTAAAAGATGCAATGGAGAAGAATAGAACAGTGAAGGAAAATCTGACAGCAGGGGATGCTGATCGGAGCGTCCTCCACGTGCCCAGCACAGAGTAGACCCCCGACTCCGATCTGGCCAGGTCCTCAGAGCTGGGTCTGATTCCCAGGTGCCCAGCTGCGGGCGCCAGAGCTGCTAGGATGGAAGGACCCCTCCGGTTACCCACCAACCCTGCCAGCAGGGGTATACCCCGCCCGCTGGACTCCACCCTGTGCAGCCCCACCCAAGCCTGCCCAAGCCTCCTCTTCTCCTCTATTTTTCCCTCCTCCCACCCACACATACTGACTTGGCAGCCGTCCAGCCCTTGTCCAGTCCAGGCTGGGGGAGACAGACTAGCCAACTGACTGTAGCACAGCCGAGATCAGTGACCCGGGGCCTGTGCGTGAGCTGTGGAAACCCCGAGGGGGGCAGGGTCTTTGCAGGGGGCTGTCCTGTGCACCGGAGGATGGTGAATGGCCTTCCGGGCCTCTACCCACCGGATGCCCCCAGCACCCCGCCCTGAATGATGACAAAACCATCTGCACACAATGCCAGGTGTCCCCTTTTGCAAAGTGCCCTTCAGTTGAGAACCACTGGTTGAACTCAACATCATTCAACTTTTTTGACCAAGAAGCACCTTTAGCTGGGGGGCGGGGGAGGGGCTGTGTGTCTCTCAATACGGCATGTACCCTGTGCCGTCCTAGACACTCAGGGTAGCACTGCTTCTGGATGAAGCCAGTTCCCTGCCACAGGGTCCAGGGCCTTGGGCTCTGGGCCTGGTGTTCGAGCTGTGGCTCCTACCACATCTGTTTCTACCTTTTGCCTCACAAAGACTGACAGTTTGTCGTTGCCTGTACACACTCTGCATTACGTGTCCTGGGCCTTCACTCGGCTGCTCCCGCCGCCCGCAGTGCCCTTCCCACCCTGCCTCCCCTAGTCCACAGGTTCATTCTTCAGGGTTCCCCTTGGGCTTCATCTCCTGAGGGAAACCGCCCCTGAAGCCCAGACAGGGCAGAGAGGCCCACTTTGCTCCTCAGTTCCCAGAGCACCTGGCCTTGGTCTTTCCTACCTCCGAGGCCTAAGACAGGCCCCAGAGTACCTCCGTCCTGCAGTGTGGGTGGCTGGGGTCCCCTCGTATAGGGAGTGAGGCAGTCCATCTCTCCCACTGGACCTGCAAAGCAGAGACTCTCGTCTTTTCCTCTCTAGAAGCTGACAAATTGTCCGGCACAGAGCACGTTCTCAGTCAAGGTCACCACGAATGGACAAGTAAATAGAAAACAAAGATAGGTGTGACAAAGGGAGTGAGGACAAGAGAACACAGGCTTGAGGAGGGAAAGACCCAGGAGGAATATTCTTTTTACAACTCAGGAAGGGATGGCGAAGCTGCCTGCCTTGTTTCTTTCTCCTTTGGGCTAAATACGTCCATTGCTTTAACCTTTAATCTCACATGCGTCTCCTTTTCCCGCCCTCTGATTGAATATCATTGTCATTCACGTCCTTCCGTGCCTTCTCCTTTTCCAGAGGCTGCTTTTGTGCTTTGTGTGGAGCAGCAGGAGCGCACAGCCTGTCTCCCTCCAGCCAGAGCATCCCTTCCACTTAATTAGCCTGAGATTCCACAATTCCCTGAGCCTCACCCTCCCCCTGGCCTGGTGGCTGTGAGAGGAGCAAATTATTTTCACAGAGAAGAGAGTGGAGAGAATTGAATTGGTGATTATGCTAATTATTTCCTTTTCTGTGTCAGGGACTGCTCCCCAGGGAGCCCACGTCTAGGACCAGGAGGGTGGGCAGGGAAGGGGCGAGGAATGTGGAGGACGAAGCCCTGGGCTCTGAGCTGGGGTGTGGAGAGTCTGCACTGGGGAGACACTGGAGGGATGTGGCTTCTCCACAGAGTTAGGCTTTTAGCTGGGAAGGGGGCCTGCACACGTTCTGGGCTCTTTCATCCACAGCATGACCTGTGAGGGAGACACATCTCCGTTTTATAGGTGTTGAGGTGTGAGGGAACAGTTCACAGGTGGAGGGACAGTCCCGAGGTCACCTGCCTAAGGGGAAAACACAGCAGAGAGGGGGTCATCGTTCCAACCTAGACCGTGTCACTGCCAGTCCGGATGGTTTCCCTTGTCTCACAGTCCCTCCTCATGGTGGACACTTGGGAGCAGTGATGGCCGGGGAGGCAGTGCTGGGGCCAGAGGCCCTTTAGCAGCCCTGGTGCTGTACGGCCCGGGCCCAGGATGCAGCTGGCCAGCCTGTTGCTCTCTGGTTGGCAGCTGCCCTCAAACCACTTGAGCTAGTGCTGTCAGGTTCTGTCACACGTTCCTTCCGTCCAGCCTGCCTGTGCCGCCCCGCCTCCGCTCTCCACACAGCAGCTGTCTCGGGCGCCATCCGGACCCCTCACCCTTCCAACAACCCAGCAAAGTCCTGCCACGCTGGTTCTGTTTGTCACTGGGGCTGGCTGGTGTTTGCCAGTCAGCAAATGTCTGTTGAGGGCCGGGCACAGTTCTGGGTGATGGAGGTGCAGAGCAGGACGAGGCCGAGCTCCTGCTCTCAGGGACACCGCCCCCACCTCGGGGAGCAGGGGTGGGACAAGTGTAGTCGGGGGAGAGACAGAGGACCCTGTGTGCCCCAGGACCTGCCTTGCTGTTTAATGAAGTCTGGCCCCGCTGCAGACTCTCCAGAGGCAGCTCTGAGATGGAGAGTCCAGTGGAGGCTGCTGCCAGGGCTGATGCCACCTCTGTCCCCAACCCATGCGTGAAGCAGCAGGAGATGCCCCTCATGGATCCCCTCCCTCCGCCAGTACACGGAAACTCCGGGATACTTAGTGAGAGACCCAGGAGCCTCCTGAAGGGACGCAGGGTCTGTCAGCTCTGCCCATGGTGGTGGTGACAGTCCTTTAGCCTGGATGTGGTTCCCAAAACTGAGTGCTGTGGCCCAACTTCAGGCCACCCTGATGGGAGGCAGTAGGTGGAGAGCTGAGCAACACAGGTGGACACCTAGGTGCCGGCTAGGGCCAGTGACCTGACCACTCTGTGCCTCAT